GCGTCGTTTCTAAGTCACCAATTTAGTGCTACTTGGTCCCAATGGAATTTCCCATTGGTAACCTGCTAGCACTAAGATGCTAATATTCTGTCATAATTTGTGGACATTAAGATCTAAAGAGAAGCGCCATCTCCTGGTCAGACCCTGTAATTCAGTGAAAGGGTGGAGTCAGAGTAAAAAAATATGCACGCCCAGTAGAGTGGCTGAAAGTTGGAGGGGATTTTGCTGCCATTCGGCTGGATTTTAAATGGGAAGGGTCATTCTGAATGGCTGCTGCTGCACACGTGTTTATATTTAAATCTGTATTTATAATATTAACTTTATGCAGACTGAAGAAAATTCTGCCTCTTCTAATTTTCATGATTCTTTTTCTAACCTGTTGAAATATAAACATGTAACAGGAAACCTTGAAAACAAAACTCTACATACCGTTGGAGCCTTTCCCATAGAAGGCACCGAGCACCACCAGGTCAGCCGTGTCGGCCATCGCCCCCTCGTTCAAGTAGTCCTTCTTCACCTTCAGCCAGTGTCGCTTCCCCGGCTCATAGGTTCCCTGAGACGCAGAGGAAGACATGGTTAAAGACGATGACCTGAACTCTCTGCACTTTAGGGTTGATGACATCATGAAGGAAAAACTGTTTTGGAAGCAGATCTTAAGACATCGGCTGAGAAGTTAAAGTCCAGCAACATATAGGTATTTAAATTAACAACTAATCAAATTAGTTATGGAATAGTCGAAGGAGCAATGAGAGACAGAACAAAAAAAGCCTGACCCAATTAGACCAGTGCACTGGAAAAACTACAAATAAGTTACATTTTCTCAAATTAAGTTAATTTACCCTTAATTTGAGGAGGTAATTGAGATGATTTGCCAATGGAATATGGAGTGTTTTTACTCTTAAAATAAGATATTTAGATAAAATTCCTTTGAAATAAGGCAATAGAATTGTGTTTTCATATTTTAAATGTAACTTGCCATTGACAAAATGTCTCTTTTAGCTACTCAAATAAAGAACAAATGCACTTATTGTGAGAAAAAATGACTTATCTAGATTTTTTTTTTTCCAGTGTGTCAGGAGGAATGGGCCAAAATGTCAGCAAAGTGTAACGAGAAAGTTGCAATGATTTCAAACAAATTAAAAACCAAAACATCTCTCAGGGCTCGATGTTAACCATCGCCCGATCTCCCGGGGCGAGTCGTTTTTATTGTCGGGAGAGTACAAATTTCATTGCATTTGCCTGCCGGGCAAGTGCAACGATCGCAAAAAAAAAAGTATTTATCACTCAAAATTACTCCAAAATCACCGACATTCGATGAAAACGACCCAGAAGCGTCGCGTGATTTGAAAAAGCCGGGTGATTTTCTGCCGGATGACGTGATTTTTGTCCACCTAGCGTTTAATTTTGATGTAGTTACCAAAACGAGCTAGAAAGCGCTATCATATGGCAGCTTTCTGTACAGTGATGCAGGTCATACATTAAAAAATGTGCATTAAATTTTATTCTCTTAGACATTGGAGAGGTGCATTTAAATGTTATAGAGCTAAACATGTTAGATTGCAGGGGTTGAAGTTAAGGATTTTTACCACATGCCCTTTGGGCAAGTGACTTTCACATTTCATTTAAATTTAAATTTAGAACATTTCTATTTAAAAAAAATCCTTTCTTAAAATCTGTGTTTTTTTTCCTCGTTAGTTATAGTTAGTTATACGTTAGTTATACGTCAGCCAATCCTATATCAACGGACATCTGTCAATCTAATATTTTCGGTCATAGCATCTTGATTCATATGTCGCAGCTAATATACGCAACGGTTGAAACCAGAATCCTTTCCTTTCCCATTGAGTTGCGTCCCAGTGTACAGAGCTGTTATAGAGCTAAACATGTTAGATTGGTGATTAGTAGTAGTGTAAGTTTTTAATCTGTCAAG